TTTTTTTTTTTCCTTTTTTGTCTTTTTTTACTGACCGGTAACGGGATCACAACCCTCGGTGCTGCGCCCGCACCGCGCTCGACCAGTGAGCGGGAACCGGTCTCCACATGGGATCCGAACCCTCGCCGGGAGTGCCGCCACGCTCCCAAGTGGCGCACTCTCCAGTGCACCACCGGGCCAGCCCGGCATTTTCTTTTTTTAAAAAATGTATTTTATTATGAACATTTATGAGATACAAAGGTGATTGTCACCCCTCATGGCATGAAGTGAGGGGCCATTACCAGAAATTGCTTCTGTACCCCGTGTCCCCCGACAATTATCCCCACCTCCATCCCCCTCCCCCTTTCCCCCCAAGTCCACATTGTAGCCCAAGGAATGTTCTATCCCTCTGCGAGAACAACGTAGTACTTTGGTCTTTCTTTCCTTCCTTCTTTCTCTCTTAGCTCCTGCATATGAGTGAGCACATGCCGTATTTATCCCTCTATGCTTTGCTTATTGTAATTTTGATTCTTAGTCTCCTCGTGAGCTTCTCACTTCTCAGTCCATTCAATAATGTTAGCTCTTCTTCCTCAGTCTCTTCATTCCTTTGATCCTCTCCACCTTGATTTCCTCATCATACTCTCTTTCTTTTCCTTTCCTCCATTATTTTTCTTCTTCCTCTATTGAGCTCCTGTTCATTCCTGTGCAGTGGCCTCTCTAAATGGCTGCTGCTTCCCTTCCCCCACCCTCCCAGAAGATATTGTGCAGGTGCAGCTCCATCTGTCCCAGTGTGTGTCTCTCACGATGCAGTAGTACACAGCAGTGTCTCTCAGGGTGACGTGGGGCAGGATCAAGGTACTGGACTTTCTGTCAGCAGGGATGGCTAGAGAGGCCAGTCTGTTGGTGACATTGGTTTTTAGACCATGAATCACATACTCCGGACCCTGGTGGGGAGTCTGTCGATACCAGTATATGTATTCACTTCCACTGATTGTGGAGTGGTTACAAGGCAGGTGTACAGGTTCTTCTTCAGTACTCTCCATTGAATTAGGCTGTGTAGTCTTAGCATCACCCACAATACCTGAGGGGTTGAGAAACAGCAGATTAGCTCTGGGTTATCAAATGTAGGTGCATCTAAAAGTCAGGTTCACCAGCAGTCCCAGAACTCGCCTCTCTGGCCCTACCCCATACTTGAGTATTTTTGTGTATGTTGCACACAGGACAAGAGAAATATTGCTGATATTTATTCCTGAGCTATCAAGAGCCACAGACCAAGGAAAAATTGCCCACCTTCTACAATGCTTGAGCTTAATGAACCCCAACCTCCTTACAGCCTGAGAGCTGTGAGACTTGGGGAATCTTCTGTGAGTGGTGGTTAGGACCATCGCCTCACACTGATGCTCAGACTCCCTAGAGAAGCACATAGATACAAATTCTTTCCAGCAGTTTGGTAAATCACAGTGGAAGAAGTAGAGGACGCAGATACCTCTCCTTTGTCCTTAGCCACAAAGTTATCCTTTTTTAGACCCAGAACACTTACCCAAAGTTAGGAGGACAGTAATTCCTGTCACCAACCTCATAGTTCAAGA